CAGATGTGAGTCACCGCTGCGGCTGGCGGAGGAAGGATTAAGTAGGTCAGGCTGTCAGCGGGCAGATCCCTCGCTGTTGCCGTTGCTGTGCTCCCTCCATCCTGGCAGTTACCGCCTGTGTGGAGCCGATGGAGCCAGAGCAAACGCCTGCCATGGGAGGGCTGGGGGGCACGGTGCTGGGTCAGGAGTGCTGGCATGGCCAAAAACCCTCCTGGAAGCACGTGGGGTTTGTGTAGCGTGATCCCTGTGATGGGGCATAGGATCTGATGGGGCAGCAATTTGGCTCTGCAGTTTCCCCGGGAATGTGGAGCAGCACTGGATGCAGGCTGGGATGCTGCCTCGGTGCTCGGCAGAGGCAAACTGCAGGGGCTTGAAGCAACGTTAGGTTTGTTTAATTGCACAGTTGCAGTTCGAGGACACTTTTCCCCTCGTGTTACCTCCCATCCTGTTTTCGTGGGAGTCATGGCAGCAGCAATATCTCCCAGGGAGCGAAGAGGCCGGTGCCTTGGGCACTCGCTGTGCTGGCCGCTTGAGGCTGTTACTAAGGGTAGGATTAATCCAAACTAATTTATACAGTAGCTTCCTAATTTAAGTGAGTCATCAGCTGTTGTCATAGGTAAGGAGGAAGGCATCAGGGAGGATGCTCCTTCCCGCCCTGCACTGCATGGTCGGCGTACCCCTGCCTCTGCCCAAGGCAAGGCAAACCCAGAAGCTTCCAGGAAGCCTTGCACGACAGAGGTGCTGGGTAGGTGAATATACCTACAAAAAGAAAAGCAACTCCTTAAGAAAGCCATCCTGATTATGGGATGCACTGGAGATGCCTCTCTTGTCTCATTCATTGGTGGTCAGGGCTGTGACCTGCACTCAGCAGTGACACCAGCATGTATAAAGTCCCTGTTGACACTGGCTGTGCTGCTCCATCTCCAGATGGGATGGATTTTTTTTGTTCAAGTGGCCACCTCAGCACAGGTTTCTCCTGTTGCTCCAGCTTTCAACATCCCAACCTGCGTTGCCTCCCCATGTGTAGCTCAGACCCTGTTCCAGCATCCTCAGCCCCTTGGGCTCTCCCTGCCTTTAGCACTATTGCTGCCCATCTCCATGAGAACAGTTTTCCCCCTGAGCTGCTGGTGAGTTTCTGTAGAGAATTATTTTTATTTAAGCCACATTTTGTGAAATTTCTCTCTGTGGCATTTTTCCTTGGCTTTAGACCTCAGTCTTTCTGTGCTCAAGACTCTTGTGATCAAGTCCTGGGACTGTCAAACACAATGTAGATTTGTGAAGGCATGTTGGTATCGTCCCAGAATTGTTACTTCTTGGCCAGGAGAATGAGGGAGGAGGAGAGGCAGGAGAGAAGAGAATTGTAGTTGAAAGATGTCATCTCGTATTGGCTTGGAATTGCCACAAATGATAACGTAACATTTACTAGGTATAAACTAGTGTTTAAAGTATCAGACGTCTCCTAAGAGAGCCCCTCTAAACAAGAGCAATCGGTAGAGGAAGACAGTTTAATTTATCCCCACAGACTTGTTTTATCCCTAGGAGTTCTTATTTCCAGTTTTCTTATTGTGTTCTTATTCTTTATTCAGTTACTCCAAGTTTCTATTACAGAAATTCACATAGCTGTCAAATAGGAGGCTTTTTTCAGTCTGGGGTATTTTTTCCATTTTCTCTGCAATATTAAATGTTGGGGTTGTTACTGTGCTCCATAACCAAAGTAGACTCCCCAGACGTCTCGAGACCCTCCTGTTTGGTCAGTGTCATTTGCTTTTTGATTGAGTCCTGATCAAACCATGGGAGTTACGGCCCTTGTGGTGCTCCTGATGGAGAGCAGAGCTCTGTAGACCTGGGGATGAGAGCTCAATGAGAAATGAGCCTGAGACCTGAGGGTATTCATGGATTTTGTTAAGCAGTGGCTGGGTATTTTATTAGAAAAGACATTTGGTGCTCCTGAAGGCTTACAACAGTCTCATTTTTTATTATTAGCTAAATAATGGTGTTATTAGAAGATGGCATCTTCCCTGGTTGTGTCACATAGCCCGTGATGTGCTGGTCCTAGCCGAGCGTGTCGGGAAGGCTCCTGAAAGTCTGCTGGCCCTTCCCATGCCTGCCCTTATCTGTCTCAGGCAATGCATTAATCAAAGCAAACAGAAGGTGCTCATTCATCTGAAGGTCCCCAATAATCCCAGCAGCTTTTCACCGACTGGGTGGGTCGGTGCTGTGCTGAGTGACTGCTGCTATCACTGCCAGCACCAGCCCAGGTCTGCTCTGCTGCCCCACAAACCGCTGGGTGGGACAGGAGCAGATTTGCCAGGCTGGGAAAAGGACCCAGGAGGACAGAAGCTCCTTCAGCTCCTCATAACACCTTTGGTTCACCCAGTATTTTGGCTGGGGTTAGCACACAGCTGTGGAGCTCAGTGTTTTGCAGCTTCATGTCTTTGCACTCACATCTGCCTCTGACCGTGGGTGGGAGCTGAACTGGGCCCTGCATCAACCAGTGCCGGGATTCCTTCATCCTTGGGGCAAACCACAGGGTCCATGTTTCACTGTGTGCTTCCACGTGGGAGCCTTCATTTTTTGTTTCCAGAGCATTTAATCTCCCAGCAGATGTGAACAAGAAGACTTGGTTAAAAGGACACTGTCAGCTGGTTCTCTTCTGCTTTACCACCCTTTGCAATAGAGGAGAATTCATGAACTGTGGTTCTCCAAACCCTCTGCTCGATCTGTGAGCAAACACTGATGGCAGTAACAGAGAAACTGCGCAGATGTTGCTGTTACAACTCTGTATAGCACTGAAAATGGTTTTGTATCAGATTCTGCTGGACTGGTGGGAGCACTGGAAGAGCCCAAATGGTGCTGGTCTCATGGGGCCTTCAATGGCAGCTCCAGGGGAGATGCACAGCAAAAGTCTGGAGGAACCAGATTGATAGCACCGTGATGATGATCACCTCTCGGACCATTACTCCTTGACAGTGTCCCTTTAAGTATTATAAGAGAAACTGCTCATTTCTAAGATTGCTTAGCTTATTTTTTTTTTTTGGTAAATGCAGTAAAGTGTGTAGTCATGATTGAAAAGACAAGAGTTAAAATGCTAATCCAACCTCCCTTGTTTTAAACAGGAACAGAAATTCTTGGCAAATCAGTTCGTATTATATTCTCTACGTTAGGAGTTTGCATATTTTTTGCAATTGGCTACATGTTGCTGCCACTGTTTGCTTACTTCATCAGAGACTGGCGGATGCTGCTGCTGGCGCTCACTGTCCCGGGGCTGTTCTGCATCCCGCTCTGGTGGTGAGTGCCCCCGCGCCGCGGCCCCGCTCCCCCTTCCCCTCCTGCCCCGTGCTCTCCTGCGCTGGGTAACGGCAGGGTGTCGGGGGTCCCCTTTCTCCTCTTTCTTGGTTTTTTTGTTGTTTTTTTTCCCTATATGCCATATGAGGAGGTTTTGTCTTGTTTCAGAATTCGGCTTTGGTTTTGATTTTATCAATTTGGGGTTTTTTTGCCAGTTTCAAGTCAAATCAACTACCTGCAGAGCCTTGCTGGTGCTGGCTCTGTGCTTGAAGCCACTTTTTCACTGGCTTTGCAGAGCAGTTTTTTCCAGAGTTCAATATTTGACTCCTAACTCCGAATGCTGTTAACCACCCCTAGGCTTTACCCCATAGCACCGCTGGGTGATTTGTTCTAACTCTGCTTCATTCCTCTTTTCTTTAAGCCATTTTTAAAATACAGATTCACAGCGAAAGGCTGAGCCCAGGCGCTGTGCACGCAGCAGCTGGCAGTTCGTTGCCATCGATGCCGTTAAGCAGTTGATTGCACCCAATGCCGTTAAGCAGAGGCGTTTCCTGGCTGAGCTCACCGGGCCAGCCCCGTCTCATGGGCTCTGTGTGCCAGGAGCCATGCATCCTCCCAGGCTTTGCTTTGGGTGCTGGAGCAGGACTTTGATTTGTGAGCTCCTTCAGCCCACGGTAACTCAGTCTGGCTATGCCAAAAGTTGGCTTTTCCTTTCCCTGCTCCTCCCAGCCATCCCACGCTAAATCCATGTTTTCTTTTATATTTGCATTGTACTCACCCACCCCTGCTCTAACGCACTGGTGGACGTGTCGGTGCACCCTCACCTGCCCATGGGTGTTCTGCCCTGGGAGACTGAAAAAACAATTTAGGCAAACTCCCTGGGCTGAAGCACTGAAGAAGAGCGGATACCCTTGTTTTGTTGCTGCCTTGGTCATCCATTGATTTCTGAAGAGAGAAGTGTTTAGAAGATAGGAAGGGAAAGGCAAGGTATCGTTCATACTCTTAAAATAAGGATAATTTACAACAAAAAGAGTTCCTTCCTTTCACATTAGTCTTATCTGAGGAACTCCTTTTTTCCTATTACCTTGAAAGAGTTGTACCTGTAAGTCAGAGATCAACGTCTTTAGAACAGTTAAGTGATTTAGACCCACTCCTCTCTAGTCTAAAAGACCTCCTGCAGATCTCACTCCTGTCACAAGTCTCTGCTGATGGTTTTGGTTTGGGGTTGGTTGTTTCGTTAATCTCAGTCTTCAAACCAAACCTTTAAAATGTTTTTCAGCTCCACCTCTGCTATGATCTGATTTTAAAGATAGTCTGATTCTTTGTAAGGGTCAATTTGCTTATTTAATTTTCAGACTCCTTCAACACAGAGGCATTTCCCTCTGCACCAAGCAGCTGCTCTGTGGGGAGGTTGGTTTTGGGTGGAAGCCTCTCAGATGTCTGCTATAGAAGTGGCACTGTGAGGCACGTGAAATTTGTCCCCAGGGCATGGCTTCAGAGTCCTGCTTTGCAAGGTATTTGGTGGGAATTTCCGTGCTTTTCAAGAGCATATATTGTAAAGCATGCCAAACATTTCCATGGATGCCACTTGCAGTCTGGGACTGAAGTGGTGGTAGATGGAGGTCAAGGTGCACTGGCAAAGCTCTGCTGAGGCACGTTGGTATCTGGGGATCTGGACCCACTGCTTCCACGGGTGATGTGACTTGCGCATCCCACCTCTCCCTGCCGTAGCTGCTCTTTTACTCATTCCTCTCCCAAATTCTCCAGAAGGTTCCCAGCATTGTCTCTGCAGTCTTGTGTTCCTCAGCTTGCCCACAGAGAAGAGCAGTGGAGGCAGCTCACCTCACAGAAAGCCGCATTAGTGGTTGAATGATCCAATAGAAATCATCTGATGCTCGAAACCGTTGGCATGGCTTTGGGTCAGTCCTTTAGGGAGTTCACCAGAAAAGGAGCCTGACCTGCTTTTGTCCAAGGAGAGGAAAAAGTGCTGCTGGCTGAAGGGAGGAAGGTAGCATCTGTTGAGATCAAAGGATTTAGTTAAGGAAAGGTGAGATCTTCTGTCCTGTGTTTGGTGTTAATTCACTCAACACGTGCCTGGCTTTGACTAGAAAATGTTGTCAGCTCTGCAAGGGGACCCTGCCACCATCCTCTGCCTGGGAGAGCCTGCCTCAGGGTTGTGGTAAACTGTGCGGTTTATGTGCGAGATTCCTATGACACAGAGCCTTAAATATCCCCTGGGCATATTTAAAGCATTCCCACATTGTGTGCAGCTTCCTAAGAATATTTTCGCTCAACACTGGTTATCAACCCCCATCTTTGCTGTCTGTGTGGTGACCTCTATTTCTTTTTTCTGGTTGACATAAATTATTCCTTAAAATCAACCACCCAGCACAGGGACCTCAGCGTGCATCTACTTCAGCACGAGAATAAACACGTCCCATATATTTGAATTCTCCCACTGATCCCAGTGGGACAAATCCATGAATTGCATTGCCCACGAGCTTCTGTGCTGACTGTCTTCTGCTGCAAGCGACCCGTGAGATGAGAGCCCAACTTGTAAAAACCATACATGTGTTTTTAATAACTTTTTACTTTTGTGAAAACATTGGGTCACTGATTCTGCAACTTCTCGCAGGATCATTCCTGAATCCCCTCGGTGGCTGATCTCCCAGGGAAGATATAAGGAGGCAGAAGTTATTATCCGAAAGGCTGCAAAAATAAATGGCGTTCCAGCCCCAGCCGTGATTTTCGACACTGTGGAGGTACGTTTCATAAATCCTGCAGAGAAATGGTTTGCACCAGCAGCTTTTAGAGGCTGGCAGTGACTGTTGGCGTGAGGTAAGTGCTGGGTTAGCGAGTTCAAAATAAGAAGCCAGAGGGGTTGTTTTTAAATTTGTTTGGTTTTTACAGTAAAATTCTCTTCCTCAGCAGTGGTTGGTTGTGGTTTTCAGAGCAAGGGTGACCCAGATTGCTTCATCCTTTGGGCATGGAGAAGACCCGAGGAAGATGTTTGTTCCCATTTCAGCTCGGTGCAGTATTAGTAGTTTGCAATTTAACAGCATCCCTTCATGGGGGGCTGCGCAGGGGACCCTAAATTGGCACCCATGTGTGCAGGGGCTGTGTGGAGCCCCGAGGGACCCCTCAGGTGGCACAAAGCTGCCAAAGCATCTGAGTGCTACAAGGGCACTTGAAAACCATGACGGTTACAAAGGCAGTTGTCATCATTTAGGCAGTTGTTGTCACCGATGACTCCTCTCCACTTGGGAAAGGGAATTGGGAAAAGGAAAGGAGACTCGTGGGTTGAAATAGAAACAGAAATAATAAAATATTAATAATAATAAACTAATATTAATAATATGAAGTACAAAAAGTGCTACTCAGCCAATACAGTGGTCACAACGGGCCAAGGAGTAGGCCTCGGGAGCAGAACAACAAGTGGACCCTCCAGGGATGGCAACCATTGAGGAAAAAGAGTATCCCCAGCAAGCTCCCCAATTTAAAATGAGTGTGATGTTCATGGCATGGAATAATTCTGTTGGCCAGCTTGGTCAGCTCTCCTGAAAGCCCCTGGCTTTTGCTCCCCCCAGCTTCTGCACCTGGCCAATCTCAGAACTGCTGAAGACCTTGGTCACCACGTACCAGTGCCGGTCGAAACCTGACACAAACTGTCTTACCAGCTTTGTTCCCACAAAATCAAGTATTGTAGTCTTTGCAGAAATGCAGCTTTCCTGAAGAGAAAACTGATTCTGTGAGTCTATCCTGGTGAAACCGCGTCAGTAGTGAAGAACATTAAGCTTTTCTTCAAGCCTGTTTTTTCTCTTGTATTTCATATTTAATGGTTAACAGGAGAAAGCCTAGCACAAACCTAGTCCCTGAGCAAGCTGGGGAGCAGCATGGCCACAGCGGGACAGCTGGTTCTTGTGCCCATCGCCAGTTCTCATGGCTTTTCCCTGGAGCTGAAGAGGCTCAGATGTTTTCCTCGTGCAAAGAAGCCAGCGATGCTCCCAGCCTTGCGTTGCAAACGACCGTGTGTCTGTACGTCAGATCTCACTTTGTTGTGTTATGCTGCCACCTGTGTTTTATGCCTCCTGATGGCTCCAGATAGAGCAGAAAGCAAAGCACCGCGTGCTCCTTTGCAGTATCTGCAGGGGACAGATGCTGCGTGCTGCACCTCCCGTGGGCAGGATCCATCTCGTGAATGTCACGCTTCAATTTTGGCTGAGCTGCTGAAGATCTTTCCAAGAGTATGTCCTAGTGTGCGTTCAAGTGCATGTTCCAGCTATGGGAAGCTCATCCCACAGAAACCATAGAAAAACACTTTCCTTGCTTCACAGCCAGAGTTCAGATGTCTTTCATACTGGACGTGACTTTTCCAGTCTCCAGCACGTGAGTTTGCTTTTCACCACTCCTGTGTATTTTTGAGACCAAGCAGCAGCTCAGCTGCCCTTTACTTCATGGGAACCTTGAGTGCCAGAGCATCTGTCCACAAAGCCTGAGGATGATATTTGCACATGAAGTCCTCCATTGGAAGTATTTTTCAGACGTTGCTAGAGAGACATTCCTTGGAAACCATCCTCTCTTGCTAGGAGAGGAAATCTGCATAGCCCCACAGGGAGAACCAGGGTTGTTTGCACTGTGGGCTTGTGGGGAGACCTGGCCACCAGCACTGGCTGTGCCCCAGCGAGCACTCTCCATGGAGGCAAAAAGACACCCTAATGTCACCCAGAAGATTCCTGCTTCAAGCCTCAAACTGGACCCTCAATCTGATCTGGGGTGGTGGATGCTTCCGGGATGTGCCCTGGCCACTGCGCCAAGCTCTGGCATCCGTCCTCCTCCTCCCTGGCAGAAAAACTGTGTGATTGTCTGCATTCATTTCACATCGTTTGTGAAGGTTGAACTGAACAGAGTTGAACAGAGAGTGCACGGAAAAATGCCCTTGGTAGTGAGGTTACTCCTGGAAGTAAAGTAAAAGAGCCTTAAGGAAACGTTAATGCGTCTTTCTTGTCAGCTGATGCTCCTGTTTAATTAATCAGTGTCACCTGGAAACGACCACGAGCACAGCTGGGTGCAGAGACAAGCTCTACCTAAGGACCGCCCTCCCTGGTGCAGAAGTGGCCCTTGGGCTGACTGGTTACCCCCGCTAGTTGTAACTTCCTAACTGCCCAAACCTGTGGGTGTGCAGAGGTTGTTTTGCTCTTAGGTGTGTGGGAATTTTTTTGGTTTTGTTTCCTTTTTTCCTTCAGATGCAGGATTCGAAGCCTCAGCGGCAGCAGAAGGCTATCCTTCTGGACCTATTTCGAACCCGAAACATTGCAACTATTACTATTATGTCATTACTTTTGTGGTAAGGAAATGTGTATTCCTAAAGTACCCAGGCGATAGAACCATTTCTTATTTCAGGGCACATGGCACAGGTTTAGATAACAAGTCTCTGCCTCGGAGCCCATCTACATGCGGTCCTTGGCCAGTACATGGCCCTAAGTGTCCTTGCACCGCACTGCAATTAATACATAAGAGTATGGAGACAGTAGCTTCAACTCAGATGTAAAATAGGTAGGAAACCATGTGTAACAACTTGTGTATTTTAAATTCTGTTGCTTTTTTTTTTTAATAATAAAAAGAAACTCCTACCTCTCTAATCTCTGTTTGAAGAGAAATGTCCTTGAAGCAGAGGCAGCAACTCAGAAACATAACAAGAACCAGACCCATGGCCAGCAGTTTTGTTCTGTTTCTGTGCCCATCTCTGTGAGATTCTGGTCCCTGCCTGGGCAGCCACGAGGAATGAGGACCCAATAATACCAGATAGACAAACCAGGACCCTTTTCTGTACTTATTTTCCCCCGGCAGAAAGGAACTGGCTAGCACCCTTGGCATGCCATAATAAGGCACTCTTGAGATTTGAAACCCGACCATCCAGCTCGTTTGAGAAGATTAAATAAGATGTAATGGAACTGCTGAGGGTGGGAGATGCTGTCACTGGAGTTGGCTACAAGTGGGAAGTAGTTGGCATGGGAAGCTCTCAAGAGTTACTTCATTGTGCCGTTAACGAGTCCATTGCAGTGAAAAGCCTTTGTGAACGACTTCCACAGAGCCTTTTACTTGGTAGTGTGTGTGCAGGAAGGACAGAGAAATGAGAGGTCTCTTCAAGCTGCTGTGGATATGATCACTGGAAGGGGTGACAGAATTAGAAAGATGGGGTTGGCACTGAGATTTTTGTTAAAGCCACGATGCCTGTGGCCACGCGTTGCGACATCCTATTTTTGTAACAACATCTGAGGCAACACTGGAGGCGTTCAGAGATGGCTGTTTCTGGAATCATTTGGTTTTATTGCTTTTCCCAGGTTTTTCACGTCAGTTGGTTACTTTGGCCTGTCCCTCAGCACTCCAAACTGGCATGGAAATGCCTACATCAACTGTTTCCTCTCAGCTGTTATTGAAGTTCCAGCTTACGTGATTGCCTGGCTGCTTCTCCGCTCCCTCCCTCGGCGCTACTCCTTATCTGGCACCTTTTTTTTAGGGGGAGGTGTTGTCCTCTTCATTCAGCTGGTTCCTGCAGGTACAAAATGTAATACGTGACTCGAATATATAAAATCTTAGCAATATTTTACAGCACTATCTAATAGTTCTGTAAAGTTACGGGAAACCACAATCAAATTTAGAATTTGAGACTTTATGCTGACCACTTGTAGCCCTGCTTTTTTTTATATGTATATGCTGAGTCATGCGCAGCTCTCATTTATTGTGTCAAATTACTGAGCTTTTTATAGTCCAGGGAAACCGGCTTGTAAGACGAGAGCCAAAAGTGAGCTGTGATTTATCTGCTTGTGTGTAGATGCTAAAAAACCCCCCTGCAAGTCTACCAGATTTCACGGTGTGTAAATCTCCACGGGATTTTGAGAAAAAGGGGTGGATTTAAGCTTGTGCTTTGTTGCTGTGTAATCCAGAGTTTTGTTCCATTTCACGAATGCTGTTTTACTGGGAGAGAACCAAAATGTGAAAAGTACAAAATAACCTGAGCATCTACGTTATGCTCAGTGGGAAGTTTGGAGCCAAGTCATCTAGGGATGGGGCTAATACATCGTATAATTAAAAAAACCCAAAACCCAAACCCTCAACCGCTAGGGAAAAAACAGCAATATGATCTTTGGGATGCAGAAGAAGTACAAGTAACAAGCACTGGGTGTCGTTTATCCACCTTGATGTTATTTTCTTCTCCTCCAGATTTTAATGTCCTGTCCATTGGCCTGGTGATGCTTGGAAAATTTGGCATCACAGCTGCGTTTTCAATGCTTTACGTCTACAACGTGGAGCTGTACCCCACGCTAGTCCGAAACATGGCAGTCGGAGCTACTTCCACGGCTTCCAGGCTGGGCAGCATCATCGCTCCTTACTTTGTTTACCTGGGTAAGATACTTTGCATTTCTTGCCTCGCACTACACAACTGCCCAGAGAAGTTATCAGAGCTTTTGCAGTGCAGCCTCAGCTTTTAGTCCCTTTGTTTGTTATCTCTGAAGTCCCTTCTCTCACCTTGGGTCTGAGGTCACTGTCAAACACTGTAGAAATGAAGTGGAGCTCCTTGGGTTTCACTTCTTTCCTTTATTGAGGCGAGGGAGTGTTCATGCAGCACCTGAGTAGACACTAATTACCATCACATTCTGAGTGCTGCACAAATATAAGTGATTAATGACCTATTAGAGAGCAGCGTAGG